CTTTGATCTTTGCCATTTTAATTATTATGTGTCTTGGTGTTGTCCTCTTTGGATCCCTTCTGTTGGGAGTTCTGTGTGCTTCCGTAATCTGCGCAACTATTTCCTCTTTTAGGAATAGTTGTATTTATTGTATTTTCATAAATATACATGTTTTGGAGAGGAGATTTCCACTGAACTACTCATGCCACCATCTTCCCGTTATCTCATTAAAAAGGTTTTAAAAAATCCAGCAATAAATCTCTTAATACATATGTAATACCTCTAAACAGAAAATAAAAATTTATAGAGAAAGGTTTAAAAAGCCTTAAATAAGTGGAGTAGAAAGTCTTGAAAAAGTACTACATATTAAGACCAATTATAAAGTTAATTTAACTAAGACATTGTGGTATTGGCATAGTACAAACAAGTAGACAAATAGAACAGTTTTTTGTCCAGAAACAGAATCACACAAACAGTATAAGAAATACTGATTTATGGCAAAGGCAAAAGAGCATATATTATATGGAAAAAGAAAATTAGTTTTAGCCCTTATCTCACAGCACACCCAAAATCAATTCAAGGTGGATTTTAGATGTAAATATAAAACCTCAAACATGAAGCTTTCAGACTAACACAGGAGACTATCTTCACAATATAAGGGTGTGAAAGAGTACTTAATCTAGATCTGGAATAATCCAAAAGGAAAAACATTACTGTTCACATGTCTTTCCTCAAAAGACAGCAGTGAGAGTAAAAATTAAACCACAGAGTGGGAAAATATTTGCAATACAGTTAACGAACAAAGGCTTTGTTTCCAACAAAAAGAGAAATTCTGGAACTCATTTTTAAAAGAACCTAAAAACGAAAAAAATTGGTATGAGATTTGAAAACCACTCTTCAAAAGATGACTATTGAGAAAAATGCTTGATGTCATTAGTCATCAGGAAAATGCAAATTAAAAGCACAATGTCATACCATGACCTACCTACTAGAAAGGCTAAAATGGAAACAGCCATTAATACCATATGATGGAGAGGCTATAGAGCAACTGAAACTCACTACATTGATGGTGAAATTTAAATTGACACAGCCTCTTTGTAATATCAATTGGTGGTCTCTACCACATTTCAAAATATGCATTCTCTGACTCAGAAATTCCATCCTTAAATACCCATTAGGAATGCAAATATATGAAAACATCTGAACAAAGATGTTTATAGGAGCATTATAACAGTTATTCTGCAGTTTTATTAAATTAGTATCATGAATTTGTTTTGCATTTCTACTGCCTGTTTCTAAAATCAAGGTATATTTGTTTTGATAATCTCATGAGACCTTATGATGTTGGTTTTCTTCGCAAGAAAAATAATTTTTGACAAGCATTATTGTCCCCCTTAATTGCTTAATTCATAAAATAATTTATTAAAATAAATTCAATATAGATTATATAATTCATTTACTAGAAATCTAAAAACCATAAGCTCTTTATCCACTTTTATAGCATAGCTGGTCATTTTTTTCTTTTCTGGTTTCTTTGTTTTCTTACTTGTTCTGTTTTGTTTTACATGCAGAACACAGCTGGCTACAAATCACTTCTATGTTGTCTAATTTGCTTTCTAGTGGGATATTGCCTGCACCAATTTAGGAAAATGGGCATTCTCAATCCCATTTGTTACCAAAGTAATGCTTTTAGATTTAAAATAGTTTTCCTTTAAATATATTAGGATAAATTTTTATCCTTAAATTACAGAAAGAACAATGCTTGAAGAATTAATGGTACCTCAAAAACTTCAGTGAGGATTTTCAATGAGAAACTAACTTTTGTTCCGTGAGTCTTGTATGCCTTCAGCAAGTTTTCATTTGACAGCCATTTTTAGCCCCTATATACTGGCACTTCTTTTGCCGGAGGGCTATAAACTTTAATAGACTCCCTGATACAGAGCTCACACTCTGGCCATGAAGGCTAAGGTGAAATGTATGAAAAGCAGAGAGCCTAAATACAAAAAGGCAGCCTCCTCCCTTGCTGTTCTTCTTCTTCTTTTAATAAACAAGCAACCAGAGGTAAACAAGAATGCTTAGAACTAAATTTTGTCAAAAACATGAACTTATATACTGGCATAGTTAACTGTTACTAATTGTTTGGAAAATGCTTATACATCTGTGGATCCTCTCCTTAGCTAAAAAAGACTGTTTATTTCATTTTGGGTTAACAATTTTGTATATCTTCAGGCTGAGAGGCCAATCCATAGAGTTCTGAATATAGAAAAATCAATTTAGAGTCATTAATGTGAGAATAAGGATTATCACTAGTGTAATTTTGAATTTGTGTTTTTATTTTCTAAATGAGCATGTGTATGGCAGGAGGTGAGATGTTTGGACTCAGTTTTTGTTTTTGTTTTGTTTTGTTTTAATTTTTCTGGCAATATGTACATTTAATATTAACATTGCCGAATACGATTTAAAAGGTTGTTATTACACATATCAAATATGTTGCTTGCCACTGAAAACAGGTACATCTTGTTCAATGATTTCGACTTTCTAGAAGAATGCACTAAGTTTTTTAAATTCCCTTCAGGAACTTTGTAAAATATAAAAATGGTGATATTTATTCTAAATGTAGGATATTATTTTGAGTTCCAGCTGAAGTCTCATAAACCTTCAGAAATCCATTTATTATTGCTTATTGCACTAGTGTTAGCTGTTTTTCTCAGTTCTTCTGCCTTTTTGCAAAGTGATAAAAAAGTTTGCTTTGCAGGCAATAGCTGAAAAAAGCTCCATAGAGCTAAATAACAATTAAATGAGGCCTAGAACATGCCTTCGGAAAATGCTATTTAAGTGAAAAAAGCCAGACTGGGTTCTATTGAAGAATGAATAAAATGTAAAGCGCATTCATTTTTCATTGAAATTAATGTGTATTATACATTTTTACTTCTAAAGTTATTTTTACTACAAATACTTCCTGCTAAACAGAAAAGTAAACAGTACAAAAAATTTCCCAGTGCTCATTAGCCAGCTTTAACTATCACCAATTCATCACTCTTGGTTCATCCATTCCCCTTCACTGTCTTTTTTTTTCTTTAAGCATTTCAAATAAATTCTCAAATATGTGATTTTTAGCTCAAAATACTTCTGAATTCATCCCAGAAACAACCAAAAGTGATCAGGATATTCTATTTTCACATTATCATAATGCTATTTTCACAACTAATAAAACCTTCATAATTCCTTATTAAAATCCAATTTTAATTTCTAAAATGTCTCAAACTTATCTTTAAATAGTTGGTCTGTTTGAATTAGGATCCAAGTGAATCCACTCACTTTACTTTGTTATATTTTAAAATCACATTTAATTTAGAATAGTTACTTCTTTCTATTTATTTATTTATTTGTTTGTTTGTTTAATATTATTGGGCATTTGTTTGTTTTGTCATTGACTTATTGAAAAACTCAGTTATCTTTTAAAATGTTCCAAATTCTGGACTGTATCATTTGAGTTATTGTGGTCTCTTTTCTTCTCTCTTTCTCTTTGTTTTTTTTTTTTTGTCCTTATTTTAAAACCTTTTTATTTAAAAATTGTCATGGTAAAAGTTTAAATACTTAAAAAAATTCTTTGATGGCATAGATTATGTGTTTGTGTTTGTGTGTATCTTTATGTGTCCACATCTAATCACAGCACATAAAATTACATTTTCATTTACTTGACAGCCTATGCTTTAAGATGGCTCTGGTTTTGCAGGCATTCAACCAATTTCTCATTTTATATATATCATCTTGACTGTCACAACTTTTTCAACCATAGGTATAAGTGCATGTAACATTTTGAGTAACATAAATAGTCTTTGTGAAATATAAATTCCAGATCTTGGGGTCTTCTCAACTATTCCTTTTGTAACAACTCTATTTTTAAAAACCTATAGATATTTTTTGGCCAGTTAGTGTCTGTTTTTGATTTAGGTATCTGGGCTAAAAGTTCCAATTAGTGAAGAACAAGGCTAGAGTAGAAAAACAAACTGAGAATACATTTGCTGTGTTTGTAAAGAAAAATACTTTCACCCAGCTTTCTTTTATATTTACCCTCCTGGGTTCCTACTTTCTCATTTTAATATCTGAACCTGCAGGGGCAGGTTAAAGGCAAAAGGTGATTTAATAATTCTTTCTTAACCAAAGTAAAGTACATTCACCAAAGTATTGTTCAAGTTTTTGCCACTCAAAATACAAAATTTCCATATGTAATCATGGTAATTAGAATTTCTGAAAATTAAGCTATTTTTGGCTTAAATTCAATAATAACTTGGGCCCCCTGCTTCACTCTCTTGATTTACCAATCTCTCCAATGCTGTGGATCTTGACTAATGCCACTAAATATAATTATGTTCATGTTGTCATTATTTTCCCAAGTTTCAAAGGTTCCCTATTTTCCTACTGAGTAAACAAAAAACACCTTCCTAGTCTGGGAATCAACCAGATCAAAATCACCTTTTTAGGCACTCTGTCCCTTTATACATTGCTTAATTTAGCCATACTGCACACCTGCTTTCCTCGAAGCTGGTTAAGCATTTTGATTAACAGTTCAGTTCTTTTACACAAACTTCTTTTCTTTCTAGCAAATTTAGGCTAGAATTTCAGACATGATTTAAAGGAGACATCAACTGTGGAATATTCCATAATCTTCCAGATTTTTAACCATTACTTCAGTTTCATTACTATAGCACTTGGCTTATATCTGTTTTAAAGAACTTCATTCTATTGCAGAAAATATTTTATTACATATCTGACTTCCTCATGGAAAAAAAATCATGATATACCTTTTTGTTAAATGACTCTACAGCCACCTAATTAAAAGTCTAGGCATCTTTTTAAAATAGAAAGCTAGACCATTCTTGAACACCTGCTCAAATGACTGAACTTTTAGAAAATATTTAGTTTCTTTTCCATAGCATGCTTTTGAAAAGGGTATCATTCATATAGTAAAAGTTGAATGTGATCAGAATATATTATGACCTACTATCCTTATATTTTAGATATGATCCAAAAACAGACACATGGACTATGGTGGCTCCTCTGAGTATGCCCAGAGATGCTGTGGGAGTCTGTCTCCTTGGTGACAGATTATATGCTGTTGGTGGCTATGATGGGCAGACATACCTCAATACTATGGAATCCTATGATCCACAAACTAATGAATGGACACAGGTAAATTTGTTACCAGCATAATCTACTTCAAATGTAAGAATTTACTTCATTGACTTCCTTTGGAGGAGAGAAGTACATATAGTAATCTATCTAGTTACACTACCCTGAACACAAAGTGATTGATTTAATCCACTGTTGTGTTCATTTAGTAAAAAGTTCATCAAATCACATTTTTGTGTACTTTTCTCTTAGGTATTACATACTTTCACAAAATTTATATTAAAAAGTGACATTTATGCTTCACTGGGATTTGTATTTTAAGTAGTACAAAGGATAGGAACCAAATTTTTATTATCTGAAGAAAAAAATAAAAGTGGAATATATTGATTCACAAAACCCTAACTTTAGAATATTTATTCTTAGAGGTAACTGGAATAAGAGGATGGAAGGCTGCAGAAATCAACTTTCTGCCTCCCATTTTTGCTTGATTATCTTAGATAAGTCTGTTGTTGTCTACTGCAAAGAGAATTTTCTGTGGATTGGCACTACTGGAAGCTTCAAATAGTAATCCTCACAGCCATAAACAGAAAATAAAAGAACTCTTTGTTCAATTAAGAAAACACAACAAAGGGCTCTAAAATGGTCTGTCATATATAAAGTGCTGATTCCTGGACAATCGCTTTCACTAGGAAGATGGAGTGAAATAATTGGCTGATCTTAGATGAGGCATTATCCCTTGAAATACACTGTAATTAGTGACTCAGGATCATGCTAGAACAGAGGAGCTCCCACTCAGATCACATAGTTAGAGGATATGTGTGAGCTGGGAAAGATGAGGGCAGGGGAACTTACTTACAGTGGAAAATACCTTATGCTGTATAGCTATTATGGCCTTGCTTGTAATGTAAGAATTGGGTAGATTATCAGACTTGTGTTCTAATATTTAATTTCTCCCTACTTTCCTCTTTTCTTTCCCCAACTTTCTCAATATTTCCATTTTTTCTTTATTTGAACAGAAACCTAAAGGTAAGGTACTGTTCGACCAAATCATTTTCATCAGTGGGCACAGTAAAATCCCAAAGCCTTATTTATTTGAAGCAGAATAATAATCTCATTTCCTCACAATCATCAGTGGGTAGAGGGTTCTATTTATTGTCTCAGAAATTTACTAAAATTTAACCAAAGAACTTGAACACTGACTGAAGTAAATCTTGTTTCAATACACTCACTCTTAAAGATACATAACTTCCTTGATGATCAGTTTTGAAGCTATGTATTGGACCACAGTATTTAGATAGGCTGACTTTCAAGTCCAAAACCAAATTTGTAGTGGCCAGGCTAAGGTAAGCTGCCTTATGAATCTTACTCTTTTTTAAGGAAAACTCTTTGATTAAAAGGAAGACAGATGAGTTAGGCTGAGGAAAAAAGAAGGTAGAAAGGAGGAAGGAAGTATTTGGAGAACTAGGTCCTCTGAGTGTCTGTGTTTCACTTTAATTAAGAGAGAAAATGCATTCCTTATTTCCAGAGCAGAAAACATAAAGGAAGTAAATAATCACTGCACTAAGATTATACAGGGTAAATTTTAACTTCTTACCTTTCTGAGTCCCTGGAGTTTTGAAAGGGAACACTGCATGGATCAATGATTGTGGATTTGCTGAGTACAAGTTCAACAGTATGTATTCTAAATGTGCCACTTTTACAAATGAACATTAAATAAAGGAATTTTATGGGCACATAAATGATATAACAATATCTTCATTACATATTTATAATAATGAGCCATTAGGCTTATCATTCCTCTAAAATTGAAATCAAAATAATGTATGTAGGAATAATAGGTAAAAGCCTCCTAAAGGCCATTTTTCCTCATCTATAATTTATTACACTCTTTGGATCATCTAGTATCTTATAAACAGCAAAGTGGATTTAAAATGTTTTATAACAACTTTATTTTAGTACATTAAACATTAATTTTAAAGCTCTTAAATTACTTTAAGGTTTTATGTCCATATCTTTTCATCATTTATATTGTTAAGACTCTCTAGTGACCATCCACAGATCCACTTGAAAATCCCCTTGAAAATTTTCAGGATTCTGGGCCACTAGAGAAAAGTCCCATATTTGCAGGATAATGCTTGTCACTTTCCCTCCATTTACCCACAGATAAAATCAATCAGTTATCCCTTTTTCATCGGTACCATGAAACAGCTAAGCATTAGAATAAATAAGCAAACTATTAAAATATCCAAGATTGTATATTTGGAAAACTTCCCAGGCTAGCTGGAATTGGAAATAATGGAAATATATTAGGGACAGGTTGCCAGATTCAGGTTTTAGACAGTTAGTTTTACAGAGAACACATCCATGCATGTATGTATGCATGTGTATGTTTTCAATAAATTTGACTTTGTCATTTAACATTGGGTTTGTTTCTTGTATTTGATTTGAAAAAACAATATATGTGGTTTAAGACATAAAAGGAAAAACTTGCTCCATTTCCCCTAACCTGGTTAAAATCACTTTCGTGTGTTCTTTTGATACATTGTCATAGTGCTGTCATGCTGCACCCATCAGCAGCGGTAAAGAAACAAAGATAGTGTTCATTTACGGTCATGTCTCCAAAGACTAGCCAGTAGTCTTTGTCTCTCACCCCACAGAGATATGAAAATATTTCTTAAATTAATAAATTGGAAAGTATTGTTGCAACTCAGTTTGCATTGTTGTGCATGAGTTTAATTTATTTGTACACAGTAGACACATAAGATATTAAGAATGAGTTCCAGGGAAGCCTGGTGAGACATCTATCCTCAGTTGCTTTTGTCTATAACAGATAACAGATGTCAGATTCTATACTCTGTCTAGAAACCATGCATAGTATTTCTCAACCTCAGAAAGTATTTGGGAAACTTTGCAAAAATATCACTACCTAACACTCATCCCATTGCTATTGAGTGGTGGTGCTTGAGCACATATACTTTGTAGAATTTCCTTAGGTGACTCTGATGGGAACCAACACTTGAAAATCAATGGAAACTAAAAGAGAGACAATGGAAAATGTGTGCATTTTAGAGTCAAACACACTTCAATTTGTATTAATTGATGTTATGGGATTTACAAACTGTCTCTTGACATTCCACTCACAAACCTGTCCTACATAAATAACAATGCATGATGGGATTATGAAGTTGACTGTGGTAATCTATAAAAATTATTCTTAATACCCAATAGGCTATCAATATATTCATATGCCCCTTTCATCCTCTCATTTTAAGTAATTGTCTATGAGGAAGATAAAAGGTATTACATTAAATTAGCTTTTCAAATAATAATGTATTAAATGTAAGAAATTTAACAAAATTATATGGAAGTTTGCATTTTTAAAACCCACAGAGAGATGGCTGGTAACAACAAGGTCATTAAAAAAAAACTAGTACATAATAGTGGCAAGTTTCATATTTAGAAAGACCATGTCTTTCCTCAATAAGATAATGTATGTGATCTGAGGTTATTCTGCTTTTAGCTATTTCTTACATTTTATTCATTTTCCTCTTAGTTTGAAATAATATCCTGTAATTCCTAGTCTACCCTGATATTTTTATGTGCATAAATTATTCTTAGAAAACCATAACAAAAATCACTGATATCAAGAAGCTCAAATTATTAACATTTTGGCTTACCTCCATGGAATAAATTTTCATTATAAACTCTGGAAAAAACATTGTTTTTAATATATTCCTAGACAATTTCATATTCATTATTAAAAAAAAATCTCAGTTCTCATTTCAATGACTGTCATAAGATGGTATTTTTTTAATAAGCCCTATAGCAATTGTAATGATGGCATATTTATGACACAATATTGAAATTACTTCATTGTACGTCTCTGTTTAGAATGAATAAATAACATATTTAATTAAATACAATATCTGGGGAAATAACTTTAAAATGATTTCAATAAATGGAATAGCTATTGCATCTAAAATACACTCCTCACTATCACTGTGAAATATCATTACAAATGTGACATGCAACCTCTAGAATAAATCTTTCCTGGAAACTTTTCTATAGAAGCTTCATTTCATTAAAATTCATTAAATATTTTATTACATATATTAAAAATTACATAAATTATTGCAGGTTTAACAAGTTTCAGTATACAAATTATTACTTTTTTTGGAAATTCCATTTTCATTGTCTCCATTTTTACCATACTACTTGTGGCCAATTGTGTTAATAAAAGCATATTATTTATGATTTTCATACATATGTGTTTAAAATATTACAATTTATACATTTTTTATGACAGTAAAATTTGTCTTAAATTGTGTCTCATCTTTTTCCACAGATGGCTTCCTTGAATATTGGAAGAGCAGGTGCCTGTGTAGTAGTCATCAAACAACCTTGACTTATTCTTATGTGGGGAGATTTTATTTGCTGGAGCGGTTATTTTTATATCAGTGGACAAGAATGAGAACTTCCTGAGATGAAAACTCTTCAAGAACAAGGATTCCTAGATTTACCTATTGAGTCAGAATAGGTAGAAGATCAAACAGAATTACAAGAAAAAGAAAACATCAAACTGCCATGGGAACAGCATCTGGCTGTGTATTAGTTACTTCAGGAATGGTTATTGGTAATTTGTTTTGTATTGCAGCATACAATAACTAGAGTTACCAAAGGACTGATTTTCTTGAGCATTAAATGGATAGATTGATATTTGTGACATGGATAATTTCATGACTACAATTCACTCTATTGTTTTACAATCTGTGGCAATATCCAAGAGGCAAGAGTAAAAGACATTGTATTTCATTTAACAGAATCTGATTGGCTCACTACTTTCCCAATCAGATGTGGTCATACCAGAAGGCAGAATGATGTTTTATTAAAATAAATATGGTTATTCCTCATTTTCCTAAACTATAAGGACAATTAGAGAAACAGATTCATGTTTTTCTCTTACATTCAGAAAACAAACTGTTCTCCTGATCAAAACTGAATATATCATCAGAGGATGGCTGAATTTTATTGCAACCGTATTAGCAATCTGAAGCTGGCAAACACAAAGTATTGTTTTCATTAGGCTTGCCACATTGCTTTTTTTTTAACACACTGAGCCAAAGAATCAGTATGATTATAGGCTTTTGCCTTATGTTGAGTTCAGTGGAAGCATGGAAGCTAGTTACTCTGAATGTTATATATATCCATTGCATGTTGAAGTCCTTTAGAATTTTTCTTATTTAAAAAAAATAGAATTTTGAGAGAGAAATCTATGATCAATTCATTTGGAGTGTTAATGATCACTGTTAGAAGGAAGGCGTACTTCAGATTCTCATTCCTTGCTTATCAAACTTGTTACATTGATATGCATATTATTTTACATCAAATGTTTGTAACTGTTTAAAGCATAAAGTGGAAACATTATATGTCTTTAATAGAGTCATGTAAATTTAAAATATAATTAATAAATGGTAGAAAATTTGCTTTTATCAATGTTTTTTTCTTCAATAAATTTTAATTCATATCTTAGTAAAAAATTGACAAGATATATTACAGACACAGGCAGTTTTTTTGCTTGACTTCTTAAAAATCAAGGAGTATACATTTCCACCAAAACATGTTTGTTTCCTCCTAAATACTATGCTGACATCAAATGCAATCTTTAATTATTGTTTTCTTCTGTAGTCACCCACTTGAAACAGTTAGAAATAGTGTTTAGAAAACACATATCCCACAGTGACAGTGTTGATAATTGCACATGAACTAGAAAAGTAAAGAAAAATCCCTCTTTGTCGAGTCAAAGTAAACCATGGAATTAAGTATTACTGTTGAGTGGTAAAAAATGTTTGAAATCTAATAACTAAGGAAAATCCTGATAAACAGCTCATGCCAAGGAAATATTAGGAAATCTGAAGTTTTTCAACATGTACCTATGGTCAAATTTATTAGTCACATTTCATTTCAGAAAAATAATATTATTATAAGATGCTAATTAAACTGTAGTTTAAAAAGGCATAACATGAAATTTATCATCTTAGCTATTTCTAAGTACACAATTTAGTAGTGTTAAGTGCATTCAATTTCCTCCTCCTATATATTTTCTACAATACATAGAGCATACAGATAATATTAGTTAACTGTAGTGAACAACTTATTTTTGAAAGTTTAAAGAATAAGGAGAAGAAATAGTGTACATCTATTTTTTAACCAGCAAGGATTTGTAGTAGTCATGCTTAAAACTTGGTTAATAAGCTTATCAACATTTTTACAAATAAGTAGTTATTTTCCTGAGAGGGAATTTTCCCTAAACAAATTTTCTTCATTCAACCATTTTCTCTATGTAGATCATATTAACCTACTACTACTCATATTTCATATACTGAGTGTGAATACCTGATTTACCATATGAAGTCACTTTAGAGAGGTTTGTACAATGAACTCTAATCCTATATGGGATTGGAAGGATGAATATTATCGTGCCATTCACTGAAAAGGAAATCGCTCTCTAAGGTCATATGCTATGGGCAGCCTATTCTGCCCAGTACTTCAATCCAGGATTCTTCAAACTTGACTCTGTCAACTGGTAACTCAACTAGCTGAGTATCCCTCTTTGTGGTAAAATTTCTGCTGAAGACAGGATTCACTATTTAGCTGTTTAATTAATAAGACATATTTAAATAAAGGAAGTATAAAAATAGCATCAATAAGGCTAGTTTTTCCAAGATACTATTAAGGGTTTTTTAAAATTATTATTATTACATTGATATCCCTGAAGTATAACTTATTTTTATAAATAGTACTGAGGTAGAGAAGGGACATGGGACAAGAATCATGATCAAGTTTTCCTGCCTTTGATGAATTAGCCCACAACCAACCCTACCTTAAGACAGAACAAGAAGTCCTAAATGATATGCTCCTACTGCTCAAGGGTGACCACTACCTTAGAGAAGACCAGGATCAATTAATTCCTTATGTTAAATTTATCTTACAGAGTATCTAGAGTACTAACTATGGATGATGACATAATGTCTCTCACTGGAGATAGACATCATGAGATCACAAGTCAAGCATATGTCCCCTTGGCCCTTAATTCCATTCTTGAAACCCTTTAAAGTCATGAATTCTAAGCCTTTAAGCACACCTCTCTTTGACACTGCCAGCACTTCCCTTTCTTCGAGTGTGTACTTTGCCTTAAATACATCCTTCTTGCTGTTCAACTTACTGCATTTTTTGTCCCCCATGATTTCCCAAGCCTCTTGGGAAATTATTAAGATATGCCTTTTCCCAGTGGTAAGCATCTTTGTTACTTCACTATTTCATTCAATTTTCTAGACTTAAGCATAAGTCTTCACTTTCTCTGTTCTACTTCAGACAAGTAGGGAAGGGCTACTAAGAGCTCTGATTTGGGCTTGCAAGTTTCCATTGCTTGGGTACCCCAGACAGGACTGCAGCTGTAGGATTATGCTCTTGAGTAGCATGCCTGAAAATCTCCTTTCTTTGTCTTTGGGAAGTTGTCCAAACATAATCTCACTCCATCCAGTGCTCTGTAGCTCCCCCAAGTCCTGGGGTGAAGGGACTTTCATGGAAACTTTTAGTTTCCATGTTGTGCAGATTTAACTGGACACTGGTCACCAGGTGACCCTAGCTTCAGGAGTTGGCACAAGGGATCTGCTCTATACTGAGTAGGAGTTCAGTGAACTTTCCTTTCCTCCCTCTGTTCTTCCTTGCTCTCTACTGCCTGCATGGCTGCTGCCATCCTCTACTACTCTCACTTTAACAAATTCCTTCCTTATCTTCACTCATCAGACCTGTTCATGAATTCTTTCTCCATCAGTCAAGAATTCCTCCCCTGTCTGGGTTGAGGTTTCACCTAGTGCACAGTGGGAGACTTCCCCAGACAAAGCTGCCTAACAACAGTAATATGCAATCTTAGAATATTCTGCAAATATTTTCCATTTTAATGATAACCATTAATGGCAATAGAAATATATAATATTCTAAATTATTTATGAAGTACTTAATCGTGTCAAAACCTCCAAATACGGTAGAACTGATTTTCTTTTATGTTGTACATTAAAAGTCAAGAAAGTACAGTCTTACAATTAAAATAAAATAAAAGGGATGACATTTGTAAGTTTTTCCTGGATACCAGAATAACAGACTTAATAAAAGTAGAAGCACTAGTATTCCTGAGAAATACTAGTTACCCAAAAAGAGTATAAGGATTTTACATTATTTAGTTAACATCATATATGGTTTGAAGAAACCAGAAAATCTATTTTGAAACTGGAAATTTGTAACCAAACAGCTAAAACCTGTGATAAAATAGTAACTCTAAAGATCTAACATTTACATGTAGGCTAAAATAAACTATTCAAATATCTATAGTCGTATTTCTAGATTGAAACGTTTATACAAAAATATTAAGATTTTGCAGCTTTTAGAAACACTCTTAAACATATCCCTATCACTTGTTTAAAAACTGTACATAGTTTTTTTAGTATTTTAAAAGAGATGAAAATTGAGGTACAAACAGTAAGAGAAATGATCATTAACATTAATCTTTTAGGAACGAACAGGAGCAGAATTTGCCACCCCAAAATATACCCCTTTGGCATAAGATTTATATTGAGTGGGTTATTTTTTTAGGAAGCAGCAGACACAGGAGAAGCCCTGAAAACTGAGTAGAAGCTACCATTTTATAAGAAACATTAACATTTATATAGGAAGTCTCCAGTTGTAAGGGTGTCTCCTCTCTAACAGAAGCACAGGATGATTAAATCTCTAGAAACTCAACAATGGAGAAGAAAAGGACTTCAAATTGCCTAAAAACATTACCCTTGTTCACTGAGTTTTTTCTGATAGTCTCCCAGAACTGGCTCCCCAAACCCCAACATTTTCTTTTATCTTTAACTGGAGATGGTATTTAAGGCAGTGGCTTGGGCCATTTTGTAAAGCTATTCAGTATGCATAAGTCTCTCCCATTATACAGAGGTACACAAATTATTAAACTTTTGGTTTTCTCCTGTACATCTGTCTTTTATTAAAGAGAGGTGGTGGTGGGGGTTTCAGCCAAAAAAGCAGAAGGGTAAAGCAAAAATTATTCTCCCCCCTCCCCCATGGGCAACTTTATTAATTTGCTCTCTACAAAGGTTTAACAGGAATTTTTCTTTTTCTGTTAGGTAGAGATAGACATGAGCAGCCAGGGAAGTGGAAGTGGTTCAAGGAAAAAACTGCCCAAACTCTGCCCAGATAGGGGGTCTCACGTGAAGACAACAAAGGCTTTGTTAGGGAGATTAACTTCTTGCCTATTGGATGGGGCTATATGGGTCCCAAACAGGTCCCAGTGCAGGAACAATCAAACAAAACTAAGAACTGCCCAAACCATACCTCACCATAATTTCATCAAAATAAAAATGTGTTTCTGTTCCCCCTCCCTTCCATGGGATTTTCTGTGTGCATTTTGGGAAAAGACATGTATACTAAGAGGAATGGATATGTAATTAGAAATGTCAATCAAATGACCTTACCCTATCAATCAAAGAAGTGCCTCCTGGTTAGGTCTTGATAAATAGACCCTCCCCTAAAATTCCGGTGCCTTTGTTTTCCCTGACTCTTGCGCGCTCTCCCTTGGAGTGTATTCAAACAAAACTTACACTCTGCTTCACTATTGTGTCTCTGCTTTTCAGTTCTTTCTTGTGGTAGAGATAAGAACTGGACAAACAGCCTGTAACATTTCTATACCCTACTAGAAATTTCAAACGGCCTACCATATCCTCTTATGGACTAAGGTTTTCTCATCTGTAAAATTATTTTGTGACTATATAAATTTTTTATATTGTTTTTGCTCAAAGTTTCTATAATTTGATACAGTAATTAGATACTTCATATGTAGAAAAATTCTAATTCAGAAATTTATATGCATTTACATCATACATAAACATGTATATAATTGCAACATTTCCAATTTATCATTTTTAGATTAATTTGTGTCTTTTGGTAATTGAAAATTTATTGATATTTACATTTCTTATGCTTGAAAATGAGTGAAAATTAACCCAACATACTACATCCAAAAATATTTATATATTCAGAATATATGAAAAACACACTGTGAAAATGAAATCACTTATTTTATAGGCTTATTATTCCTATAACCAGGTATCAAACCCTACATGCACTGGGCACTATGCACACATTACCTGCACCCAAGTAGCTCAAAGTCATCAAAGAAGACAAACTCTGCATGATTACATTGTACTCCAATAATGTTGAGAAAAATCTTTTCAATGATGTTATGGGAAACATGTGAAAATAGGACTTTACTTTGTGGATGTAATGTCTGAATCCTTATGGATATGTTAAAAGAATGCTTCTTCCCTACTTCACTGATACGTGAAGAAAAAACTTTTTTCCGTAAACATTCTTGGTGTT